TGAACCTAACGGTCATCTGAACATAACATGTGCGATTTCCATATTTAATAGGAGGGAGAGATAATGGCGGCTAGCCAGATCATAAAAAGGGGTAATGGAGTACCCGAACTTGAGAACCGAACTGAGCTATGAGAAAGCAAATGTAAAACATTAAAACATCATGAGACTATTAAAGATTTGCCATAACTAACTTCATCTTTACGACCAAGCCTTGTGAGGGCATCACCGAGATGATAATAGAACCTAAATGATCAAATGTTAATGATATCGAATCGTTATGAAGTAATCATTGATCAGATTCACTGATGGTTACTGATCCTGGTTGTTTTACTCTTTTCATCGACGGAAATTTTTTTCTTTTGAATAGAAAATTGACTAATTCCTAGCCCCCTCAAAAAAATGCTACATCTATCTAGCCCCTTCAAAAACTAGTCGAGACAAACCTAGGATCGGCAATCACAGCTCGGGCAGCTCGCAAGCCTTTTCGCATAAAAATAACGCCTTGTTCCAACTGCCCATTCATTTTCATTAGATAGCCATAATATGCTTGCGCAACACCATTGTTAGGATCCACTTGAAGAACCTAAAATTTGAAGTTTGTTACGACAGCGATAGTGAAGAAGTTTATTGCGGAAATACGGATCTTGGACTGTTATTGAATTGCAACTGAAGGGAATAATCTGTTTTCGTAAGGTGACAATGAAAATGAGCAAATTTCTATGAAATTTTAACCGCATGCTTGTCTAATGTTTACGAATATGACTCTTTTCACGTTCCCAAACTTTCATGCTCTTGTTTAAACTTTGGTCTTCTCATCTTAGCTTTTACGGTCGTTTTTTAGTGGACGCCATTTGCAGACTCATGATAAAATGAGGATACCGTCCAGGAAAATTTCTACTTCATATCGTTTTCCAATGGTCCATATTGAGCAATATAAATCAAAACAAACATCTTCAAACACTTTGAGTGCATCATCGTGTCGTCCCATCATCAGAAATGTCAAACCGAAATCATTTTGCAGTTGAATCTCTTCCGGATACCGATCGATCAGTGATCGCTGTGCTACCAACGCTTTATGAAGTGCGCCTCGGAATCGTGCACGGTCCACCAAGCGATTAGCTGCTTGCCTTAACAGTTTTTATTCACCGTGACAGAAGCATCATGTGTATTTGAGACTAACTGAGTGCTTCAAAGCATTTTCGTGTTTCACTGCATTGCACAGGTTAAATTTTTGAGTGACCGCTTGCTTTCACTTACTCACACAGTAAAACAACAATAAACGATTTGGCGGTTTAACTGATCCATTCATTCGTAGAAGGGAGCAAAAGGAAGTCTGGTTGGTCAATCAAAAACACTTTTTAGATCAGTCGAATCATGTGTCCAGTTGTTACCAAATGGAGAGAAGCGTAAAACTACTTCAGCATCTAATGAATGTGCTTATTTTTTGAGAATATCTGTCATGCAAAATATGAAGTGTCAAATGTCAAAATGTCGAATGTTATAATATTGTCAAATTCGCTGATTTATTAAATGTCAAATGTCAAAATGTTGTGAAAATTTCGATGTCAAAATATTCGTCAATTCGTTATTAAAATTTCAAAAAAAAAACGCTTAGAACGTCAAAATGCTCGCAGATTAAAAATTGTTTTTGGAATAGACACTCAGCCGAGAATGGCAATTAACCACCTGAACAATGTATCAGGCGTATCATCAAAATTCAGCACTTCTTGATATTCATTGATGGCCATATCCAAATAAGTTTTATCAGCATCCATTTCACTACGAATATCAAACGCTCGAGCCTTACCGAAGTGAGCACGAGGACTGTCTGGATTATAGCGTAAAATATCATCGAATATTGCGAAAGCTGCTCGATATTCATGCTGAAAATGAATTTGAAACTGATCGAATTCGCTTCGCAACAATGGCTCTGCGGTAAAGTTGCGATTCGCAGTTCAGTTGAAAATGTGCACTATTTGAGGCGTGATTCCGCGATAATATTCTCGCTGTCTCTAATGATTTTTACGATAAAGAGCATAGTTTCGGGCGATTGTGCCGACCAAACCATAAACTGTTAATCCACGATCGATCTTCAATGTGCTCCAAGTGCTTCTCTGAACTTTTCAAGTTATGGAAAAACCCTCTCACTGAGTTGATCGGTGAAAACGAACAAAAATGTTTAACAGGATCATTCAATATTAGTTCATATTTGTATCAGGCAGGGAACACTGTAAGTGGTTATCTCTTGTATTAATTGAGGCAAACGATCAACGCATGAATAAGGTTAATTTTACGAAAAGAAGCAGTTGGAAACTGCAGCATTACTAAATCCGTGATTTGTTCATTCCCAGCTGTTACTTCTGTTGAGATCATGTCGCGATGTAAGCAAACACACACACGCACACATACAATTATTACAATGTGCATTTATTTCGGAAAAAAACGTTACTCAGCACAAAACCAACAGCAACACTTGAATTGAATCAGTTATAAAGGATATGATCGTGAAAACGGATGAGCAGTGAATTATTCATATGTACAAGCAGAAAGAGTTTATCGTCTCATCGTTCATACGATAATAAATTCAGTTTTAAGAAAATTTTTGGAAAAAACGTCAATAAAAAGTGCTCCATACGCTTTTCATAACGAATGAAATGAGATGAATAGACGAATGTCAGTCAACAAACAAAGTAGTGCAAGTTGGATATCTGAAAAAAAANAAAAAAAACAGCCACAGTTACAACGATTTGAACAAACGAAGAAATATCGAATAAAAGATGCACAGATCACAGCAAATATTTGTGTTAGTACAAGACGTTTAATCGGACTCTCCGATGCTGACCTCGATTTTCTTTCACCTAGAAAGAAGCAACATCAAGGACAGCGATCGCTCCGTCCATAGTTGCCTGCCGCAAGCAACACTGTTGCTCTAATCGCATTCGGACGCTACTAGAAGAACTGTTGCATGCTACATAATGCAGTTTCAAGAACTGATTGATTCAGCAACACAGAGATGTATGTCTTCGATGGTAGTTCAGTTCTCCAGAAATCGTTGTGATACATCCAGCAGCAGTATGATTTTCAGAACAATCTCCTGGGTTTTGCATTTCGATTAGTTTTTGATCTATCACTGACCTTTTCGACGAGCTGATCGGCTCTATCCAGCTGATCTCTGAAGCGAAGATCATCATGATTCGTGATTGCACGTCGTTTGTAAGTGGCACGAGAATTTAACCTGAAAATCACATTCATTTCATGAGAGAATGCTGTAATAGATGCTGATTCGAGCTGCTATGAATGCCTTCTATAAGCACTAAAAATTTGTTACTTCACTACCAAGGAAACATTCAAGAGCATTCCATCGAAAATTCAAAAACCGAAAGCTTCTCAGAAATTTTGGCTAAGATAACACACACACACAGCGTTCAATCTGGTTAAGATCTCGACAGAACAAGTGAATGCAACGAACCGATCTTTTTTGAGAGCGATAACTTCATTCAGCCCTTCCTCGTCGTCTTCATCTGAGCCTACTCCATCACCCAACAAGTCACTCTCATCACCATTCCCGAATTCGTCGAAGTCCTCTAAGTCTTCCTCTTCAGTCGGTTTTATCACATAGCGTTTATTACGACGAGACAGTGTTGTCTGCTGAAAATGAGGTAAGATTATGATAAGAGTATTCAAAGTACAACGGATTGAACTGGTAATCCAAACGGAGAGATACAATTCTCATTTACTCGAATAAACAGTAAATTGAAAAAAGCGGCAAGTTGATTCATAAGCTGGCTATCATTTTCATCAATATCTCATATGCACCGCTTCTGTATGATTTCGTCAACCACCCAGATTGTCATTCTTCGGACTGCTTGTTTGGCCGAAGATTGCCCTTCATATGGAAGTAAATTCGTAGACTCCATATATTGCCTTCATGAGATGATGACAAAATAACTCACAGGTTTTTGTTTCAGAAGTTCCATTCGAGGAGTGCGATTGTCTACGGGTGGACAGTACTTACGTTTACAAAGCTGCAAAAGAATTAAGTTTGCGGTAGGTTGGGCTATTTCTCCTTCACTTCTGATACTTCTACTTCTTGTTGATTCATTTCAAAGTGAATCGAATAGACTGAACTAAACTGAACAGTGAATAAAAACTAACACAATTCAGTANTTTATGTACTACTGATAAATTGTCAGACTGGTAGTATAAATAAAACTATCTGATCAGCAAACATAACATACTCTTGCTGGTTTTTTAAGAGCATCTGCTGCTGCTGGTGTTCGCTTCCTCTTGCGGCGGGGTTTTTGTTTTACATCAGTTTCATCATCAGGTTTGGCCTCAGTTTCGTGCTGAGTCTCAGTTTCGAGCTTAGCCTGAGTTTCTTGAGCTTCGTGTTCTACTTTTTCGCTTACTTCTTCTGCTTCACTGTCCTCTTTTTTGGAAACCTTCTCTGCATCTTCATCCTGGAATTCTAACTGACAGCGTTATCTGGCACTTAGTCATTCAGTCAACTGTTCGGTCAACGAACAAAATTCACCATGATCATTTCATTTGCTATTATCTTTTGTGGCGCAGCCGAACTGCGTCGATGACAGCAAAACTGTTGTTTGCTCGAATCTTAATCCTGCTACAGATCATTCTTTTGAAGAACATAGTATTTTCAAAAGTGCATTACCTTGAATATGTCAGCATGAGTGCGAGCTCCATTACTCAANTGATATCTTCATGCTCAATGTTAATGCCATCAATAAATTAGTACCATGTTCAATATGAACTCCAGGCCGTATTCAGTCTCACAGTATCATTCATTTTCCTCATGTTCGCTGGCTTTCATAATTCAAGCAATCGATGACCTATCTATCTGTTTATAAAAAACTCACAACCGTTTCTTCATCTGATTGATCTTGATCATCAGCTTCGCTTTCATCAACACCTTTGTCTTCCTGACCATCTCCTTGATCAGGTTCATCCACCTGTTTTGCCTCTTCACTCTCATCTCCGACATCCTCGTCTGCATCCTCATCTACCACATCCGATGGTCTCTTATGCTTACGTCTCTGAATAAATCATTTATCATTTCATCGATCAACACTGTTCAGCGAACTTTTTTTAAATTTTACGCTCGTGAACGAGAAATGCGACGCATACTATTGATGAAAATGACGACTTATAGGATCATGCTAGTGAGGAGATAATTCCATTGTACGAATGAATTCATCCAATGTGTGTAGTGTTTCAACTGATTAGTAGTAGGAATTGAATGTATTCTGTGAACTAATTGAATTTTTAATTAAACAATGTTGTGGTTAACATTATGATGCGTATCGAAATAAATTGAGTACTATGGTGGAAACCTGTCGGAGTAAAGGCTCAGCTTCAGACTCATCGCTCTCGTCACCTTCGACTGGCCTTTCCTCATGTTTTTGCTTTCGTCTTCTACCCTTAAAAAGACTTCAGTGAATGTCATTTCGATAGTTCCAAAAGCATGACAAAGTTATAAAATGTATTAGTTGCATTTTTATTAGTTTTCATCATAGTATTCAAAATCACTCAAAAACCTTTTTCAACAATCACATTCTTTAAAAACAATCAATAAATGATGGAAAAAATTGTTTAAGACTCGAAATTAATAAAAGTCAATTTAAAAATCGCCGGTTTGTCTACGAAGAAAACAGAACAATTATCATTAATGAATTGAGCGACTTAGAATATGCGCAAAAAATGCAACGCTTCAAAAGGATCGATATTTTAATCTAAAACCAGTAAACTATTTAAACCATTCGATAGTTCTATCACTCACGAGGTAAACACCATAGAACTGTCGACTCAACCAGTCGAAACTCAACCAATCTTAACGTACCTTTCGTGTTGGGGCAGCAATTGTAGTTTCGTCTTGCGGCTCAGCTTTCTCAGCTTCATCATCATCGTCGTCTTCATATCGTTTACTCCGTCTATGTTTCCTTCTCACTTGCCTGGTTGGTACTGCCTTCGACGCTTCTTCATCCTGATTGATCAGTAGATGTCATGAAGTGATACAGAGCCAAAACATGTACGCACGATTCCATCATTGCGAGTCAACATTGCAAGCAATTCTTTTCACTACAACAAATGCGAATTTTTATAGAATAGTAACGGGTCAGCAACTAACGTCATTTGCATCTTCTCGTTCCATATCGTCGCGTTTCCGATCGGCTGGCGACTTCTGTCGTTTCTTAGCCTCAATTTTTGCCTTCAGTCCCGCCAACAGAGTCTCTTCCTGTCTCTTCGCTTCCTCTTCATGTTCATCATCCTCATCTTCATCAATGTCATCGTCAGCTTCAATGCAAATCCAATAAAACTGATGAGGTCGAAACAACTACTGATTTGAACCGGAGAGACTGCAGTGATTGGTTAGTGGTATTTACTTAAGAGCTTGGAAAAGTACCTGCGCTTGGAGCTGTGTGCATCTTCTGATGGATTCGTTTTACCTCTTCGGCAGAATGAACGATATTTTCACGAGACGGTGTCCGGTCTTTGGTGGCTCTTCGATACTGAGTCGCAACTTCATCGGCGTCTGCATCACGGCCACTTTCGATTTCTTCATCCAAATCAACGATTCCATCACCATCGATATCTGAATCATCGCAGCACACCGAAGTGATTGAAAATAGTTCTCAAGAAGCAGAAAGCATTTTCTGGGCATACCACGGATATATTCAGTTATCGTGATGCTGATAAAATCTAAGGGTAGGGGCTGTGCTACATTTAAAGAATACGTTGAATACATAGCACTGCAATCGGATTGATCAAAGTGTGACTTTCTAGCGAAGAATTCAAATCACATTGATAAACTGATCATGATTTCCTTTCAGACCGCTACTTTTTTAGTAAGTTTTGCGAATTGTTCAAAAGTATCGAACTGATAGAATCGTTCAATTCGTTAAGTTTCATTACAAACGCTTAGTGGTGATCTTTCTATTGATCTTTAACAACTCTCTTGATCAGCATTCATTCGTATAATTGTTGACGTAAGATGGGAATTTCCATGGATTTCTGACAATGATTATTTCCATGATGATTTTTTTGGGGGTTCAATCAATGAGATGCAGGAATGACGGAAGCAAATATATGATGTGAAACAAATACAAGGAAATGACTCACCAACAACTAATTCGGTCAAATCTTTCGCAGAGAAAATGGTATACAAACTTGAGCAAAGGAAGATGAATACAAAAAGAACAGCCCAGGTGCGTAATCCGCCTTTGGTTACACTGTAATCGATGCGAGTCGGCGCTACCATAACGGCCATCGGCGATACATGACCTCCCACGGCACCATCTGAATTATTCAATTTTTCGTTGTCTGTTTTTTTTTCTAATCTCAATTATCAACTGCGATCCCAGTTTGCATTGGCTCTTTATTTATTCCTGTTCAGTGACAGCATTTCTATTCCCGTTTGTACTGGCTCTTTATTCATTCCGAGTCATGCATACAACATCTTCATCTTAATAATGAAAGAACTGATGCTCAAAGCCCTTGATCATGCATAAGAAATGAACTTTTTCGTTGCCACATTTAAAATTTCCATAATCCGAGTGAATGATGTATGAAATATTGCTCTGATTGACAGTTGGAAGATACTATGGAGGTTATTGGGCAGCATAAATTCATCATCTATGAATGTGATCGATGTTCTGTCATGCATTTGCTGATTAGAAATTTTTATGTTGTTCATTAATCTTGTGTCCATGAAGCATCCAATAATAGGACAATGAACATGTTTGAACGATTGCAGTTCCAAGTTATTGACAGATTCGAAATTTGAAATACGGCTTGCCTCAACGAAAGCAATTACGGATAAGAGCAATTTGTGGTATAGAACATCTTCTGGTCGCCATTTATGCTCGTAAAAATCTTCGTTTTCCGTTCGACGAATAATCCATTATGCTAACATTAAAATGCAATATGTTTATGGCTATTATTTGAGTGTTCCTAGGCAATATTACTTGCTTTCATGGATCAACTACGAATTATATTTGAGTATTGATTATAAGCAGCAATTCAGAGTCGACTATGATCGATAACCATCTCGAAATTACTCGATTCCTGCATTACATCGCTGAGTTCGATAGTAATCGAAAACGTATCTTGCCCTGCCCACACAAACATTGCTATCGTTCGAACACTGGTCGATAATGTTTATAAACTTAAGCAACTAGCTTAAGCAATTGGGTTAATGCTGTTCAACTCAATCTACGATCGATCGGCTAATGTTCTGTTCACTGACAAGTTCGACTATCGAATGTTTATCAAAATTTTGCGATCATCATTGCTGCTCATCAACAACAATTTCAACTTCCACTTTATGAGAGTACTTCGAAATCAGCATATGTTACCGCAGTGCTAAAGTTTTTTACTATGTTCGTTCAATACTGAAGTTTCTCTCGGAAAACCGATTGTTTCAAGTAAAAAATATGCTTATTGATTGAGTGGTTACGGGTGAATGAAGAATCGTCATTTCAACAGTGATAATTAAGATGTAATGTTGCAATGAAATCCTTAGAGACTGGTTTATGTTATCCACTAGTGTATTCTGCTTTAGCGTTAGAATATAATCGCCCTCATCAAAAATCGTTAATATAATCGCCCTCATCAAAAATCTCGCCTCTACTAACATAACGATATTGCATTCGTTATGTTAGTAGAGGCGAGAATTGTTGCTGGGATATTTGTTCTTTGAAGAAATTTTCAGCTGAAATTTCCAAGAAAATACGTCGATGAAGACAACAACGTTGTACAAGTCCCATGCAGAGAATGGTGTTGAGAGCATTGCAAACTTCCATGAAAAGCAATGGAAAATATTTAGCGGGGATAACAGTGAAATGGAAATGCGCACAGGTAGTTTGAATCTGTGGATAAAAGGCTCATCATCAAGCAACGATGGATAAAATGAAGCTCAGCCAAGGGGAATGTGAAGCGCATATGCTGGAATGCACAAGGAACGGAATATGAATATTCTGCCAAATTGTAAGAGAACTGAACTGTGAGCGGATATGATAACTGGAAGAGTACTGAGTCGAGAACGAAGGTGATAGGATCGAGTGAAATTGAATATTTTTTGCATACAATATGAATCAGACAACACCTTCACATAGTACTTACGTAATGAAATGCGTGATGTGCTTCGACGGATATTATCTTCCATTGCTCGCCATTGATTTGGTCGATTTTCGGATTCCATTTTACCGAATCGCAAATTTCAAGTTTCGTTTTCTTCTAAGTTTTTGTGTTGGCGAAGGGCAGTAATAATTTGAATGTCCTCAGCAAAGTTCACAATTTATCATCATAGAAGAGAATAACGTGTAACGTTAATGAATGTGTGCGTGTTTGTGTATGTATTCAGTGCATTCCACACGAATGCTACTTTGTTGAATACAGAATTTCACAGATGCACAACACATACGAATGTGAATGAATAGTGCTAGATTGAGTTCGAATCTTTTTTTGTGCGTGAGTGTGTGTATGACAAACGATTCTTGGTCACTGTATTTGGGAGATTTTTAGCAGTGTTGAGTAGGGCACAGAATCAGCCTCGAAATTAGAATCACCAGTTTAAAGACGTTTTTGTGAACAACGTTAACAATGAATTACTCGTTGGTATACAAATGGGATAGCGTAGAATTGTTGGGGCAGTGAGTGAATATGAAGCCGAAAAAAAGCCTGCAAGCGAACTACAACATGAGCAAGCAACAGCACAACGATACTGAAGATTAAAGTGAAATTGCTGAAGAGATAGATAGTAGTAGAAAATATAGAGGCTGGCTAGCTGGCTGCTAGGCTGGCGGGGCTTGTGTTTGGGCGATGATGGAATGAGAAGGACGGACGGTCGGCGACGTAGATTGATTAATGCCTGATGGAGCCCAATTGGTTGCTGCTAATGACTGGCGTTGATGCGGGTAGTTCGGAAGTGCAGAAGGGCTATTATCTGTGGCACGACGCAACTCAAGCCAAGCAGCATTTGGTTCGATTAATAAATCGAATCAAATCGTAACAGGCGTATTGATGGTGGTGTTGGTTGCTTGATGTCGTGTAACTATAAGGATTATCACCACTGGCTGTTTGCTTGGTCGAGAAGCGGTAACTGATAGATAAGAGAGTGAAAACGAAAGAGAGAGCCGGCAGTGTAACCGCAGGTAATGATCGTTTGCGCTACGTCAGTTAGCTGCTGATAATGACAAATGAAGAGAAAAATTAAATGCTAGATGAAAATAGAGGTGAAACGAAGAATTTGATTGAATAAGATGATTAAGGAGTGACGAAGACTCATCATTGTTGGATAATGAGATAGAGAAATTGTGAATCGGAACAATGAGAAGATAGATAGATCTGATTGTGAGATAAGCCGAGGGTGAGAGCAGTAGCAATTGAGATAGGTAGTGCAGTAATGCGAGTGAATGAAATGATCGCCTAATGATGATGAATCGCTGAATGATCGCGAACTGTTGAGATGGTGTTGGTGGTAACACAAAAATACTGATAATAGCTGAGGATTTATGGTTTAGCCTTTACCTTTAGGCTAAGAGTGATTAAAGAATCACAGAAAGATTGCTCAAGGCATTGATAGTGTTAGCACTAATGTGCTGATCGTTTCGGACGGTATTGCAGAAAGCAAGAAGAAACAGCAAGAAAGATGTGAAGCGAGAATAAAACCCATGAATGAAAGGTGAATGTGTGGATAGCAGATAATGATAATAGAGTAGAGATACGTTAAGTAATATGAAGCAATATGTTGATGATAACGTGATATGCATAGACAATAGTTTGTGCAATGATACATCGATAGATGGATGAAGAATAGCTTTTGAAAGGGATTAACTAGCGGTGGATTAGGATGAGATAATGTTCGTGCTCTCGAATAAGAGAGATAAGTGTTGAGTGCATGATGTATTTAATACTTTCTTTTTAGAAAATCAACATTACATGATTGTAGACGTATTTCAACGCACAAAACATTGAAGCAGATAGAATCGAAGTAATTGCACGAGGAAACAAAAAATTACCTGCAAAANAAAACCAGGAGAATGATCTAAAGAGTAAAAACTTAGAATTTCGTGAGCGAAACAGCTGCTTTCTAGAATAATTCGAGATTTTTATTGGTAGTACTCAGTGCAAGATGAACGCGAAAACAACAAAAACGACAATGACCTCCTGGCTGTGTGGAAAGAAGGATGTCAAGGAAGAATGGGATGGATTTCGGTGATAATAGAGAAGCTCGTGAAGTTGTAATTGCTGATTGAATAAATCTATAATACATATGCATTTAATGATGAAATTTTTTTTCATCAAAGAAATGTTTCATTAGATTAGAAGTTGGTTGCGTCTCGTATTCTAGCCACATTCGAATATGTTAGAAAAACGCTTCTCCTTAGATGTTTTTTGCCTCATCTTCAGCATATATTTCGGTCAGCGTAATTTGTTTGCTCATCGTATTCGTCTGTAATGAGTACTTCAGGGAACGCACAATAACTTCGCAATGTTCCATTTAATTCGAATCCAATTCATCGACGTTTCTCTATTATACAACAGTTATTCGCCGACCGCTTGCTGGACTGAACTGAACTGAAATGGAATCTTTTTCTGCATGAATTTTTCATGTTGAAGATTCAACATACGCAGAAATATATTTTTTCAGTTCCCATTGTTCGTTTGCTTCAATAAGTTTTTGAAAATTTTTTTCCTATCGGAAAGCGTACCATTGAATTCATTTTTTAAATTTCACTTTGCACAATCCAGATAAGCGTTCACTCGTTTTTTTTTTCACTGTCATTTTCTAAAGTTCATGACTAATTCATGATGATTTGTTTCAATAGACAACGCAAATAACGACGATTTAATTGCCTCCTACACTCTTTTTCTTCAACAGATTCTAATACTGAGGCATTTTGTAACATTTCCTCTCTTAGGGACGAACATAATCGCCGATAGTTCAAGTTGAGTTGAAATTAGCAGCAAAAAGGGAATCGAGCAGTGCAAAATTCAACTTGTTCTATCAAACACTCACTTTCACGCCTGTGACTACTCTTGGCTTCATTGCGAAATAAGTTGTGAATCATATGCATAAATACGGAGTTAAATGTGGCAGAACTGAAGAGTTGAATCACGACGTTTATCGAGTTTCATCGAAACAAAATTATCAATCTCACCAATCAATCCTGCACCTTTCGCAACGATCGCTCAAAATCATATACGTATCTATCACACTGATCAATTTTCAATATCACTTAGAGCTCTCAGATATAAACAGAATTTTTCCGTATCAGCTTCTCATAATTTTATCATGTTGAGTGGAACATGCCGTCTAATAGCACTAATGCTAATATTTGGTATCGGTTTCAATAGAAACCATCCAGTGCTTTCATGTTCCAATGATATGCTTTCATTCTTATATTCCAGATCACTACCTAAAATTGTATTCAATTTGTTGCATTTTACATTGGGCGTGCGATTTCGATTCGTTGAAAGCACCTAATAGTTTGGCTGAAAATGAATGAAATAAAATTAAATGATCAANAATAGATGAGAGCTTACAACATCCAGACGGGAGGTTTTATGTTCCTTTCAACAATTCAAAATTAATAGATGCTCATTCGTTCGTGTGCTGCTGTTTATGCTGATGTGTAGAAGAACTATTATAGATTAATTGTACTTCCTAACAATCAGAAAATAAATGGAATACAAGCAGACACATAGGTATATCCTGCAAGTGAGTTAGTGATTTGGACAGACTGAATTGGATCGGAATCCGGAACGTCGGGATTCCGACCGATCATCAATAAAACCGTAATAACTCATCAGCAATATAACTTTCCAACATTCCAAAAATGTGTACTCTTAAAACGACGACTCTGTTACATTCAGAATCAACAGTGTGTTTTTGGCATCGTCTTGTTTATTAACAACTTAATTTCATCAACTTCTCCTGAACATTTCGAAATATTCCAGGGACAAACAAAAGATTTGCATGGCAGACTTGTTGGTATTATCTCTCGTCCATGGTGTGATAGTGTATGATTGAGATCTGGGAGAGCATTTGAATGATAGATTGGCTGATATTAAATTGAAATTGATTAGAAGAACAAATCAATTGGGAAGAGCAATTATTAACCTAAAAAATTTGACTTGAAATAGATATGCTGATGCAAAATAATTTAAATCAATTCATTTGAAAAGTGCACCAAACACTTTTCCATCAATTATTATAATACTGATGTAAATTAGGATTAGGTATNTATGTCTGTAATGTATCCAATCGCATGCGTAAACCGATATTGGTTTTTTATTCAACTATCAGCACTTGTTCAATAGTAAACGAAACATAGCAAACAAATAGTTCAGTGCTTAATCTATGTGCTGTAAATAATTCTACTTTACAATATCGTGTGCTGACCATGTAGATAGAAGTATTGCGTACAATTTGGACGAAATGATTCTACGAAATAATTGGGTAAGATTAGAGGAATCGACGTACAGTCCGCAGCTGAATAAATAATCGATTGTGGGAGTGGTATGTGGCAACTGATAGGAGATGATTATGGTATCATACGTGAAAAGATATTCATTGTAAGAAATGATATGCGAAATTGTGGAAGGAAATTAGAAAATGCTTTTTCGTGATGTCTCAATGAAATTCAATTGATTTGGCTAGATGATTGGAATTACTCATTATTACGCATAATGCGATTTCCCTCCTTGGTTCATGAGAAATAACTTCACGAGAATTTAATTAGTCATTCTTGTGAAAACGGATCTCAATGGAATAGTCCTTGAACGACTGCAATTGTATTAGGAATGATGAACTTATTACTTGAATTTGTCTACTACCTATTGCCTCTTGTAAAAAGTGGAATTTAAATTGCTTAGAAGAGAGCTGTTTCTAGGAATCACTCATCCTCACGAAATTTTTCCTTCTCAGATTGCTCAGATTCGTTCGCTGTATTCTCCATGTGCCCTCTACAGCCATACCATCTGAACAGTGAAAGCGTTTGAGCGTATGATAAGTTGACAATATTTAGGCCTTACTTCAGAAAGTTGAAAAAATAACTTGATATGCACGAAAGATCATTACACTGTCACAACTAGTGTCATGATTTGAATGCCACTCCACTCTTAGTATCGATATGGGGAATAGTATGCGAGAGTAACACCGAAACATATGGCGGAGTTAGAACAGGAATGCACAGAATTCTATGGATCTCAGCAACTCTGAGATCAGTTCAATCTATATCTCTTTAATCTTACTCACAATGTTGGAAAATTTATTTCATCAAATGATTGTTTCTTAGTTTTGGTTGTTTCTTAGCCTTCAATATCGAGAATAATTCGCAAATAACTCCGCAATTGCACCAATGATTGCGTCATCTTGAAGAATTTGATTCCAAAGAATTTTGAACATGTGAATCCTATTCGAGCTGANCAACTTACGAAAGATTTAGAATTGACTCGATTAGGCAAATGCATTGGCCATGATCACTTTGTTAAAATCTAACAATAAGGACAGAGCTACTTTCTCCACGTTCAGCCGCTCAATGAGGCATGAATGAATCATTTACATGAGGTGCTAATGGCAGCTCAATCAAGTACACAAAGCTGAACACTAAAAGTGAAAAATTCTTTCGGTGAAACAAAATTCGAAGATCAAAATCAACTCACAACTTGATCCTTGACGCCGAAACTGTGGCCTTAACTGTGCTGCTGTTCCACCACCCAGTCCGATGTTGACGTTTGCTGCAGAGGATGAAAAATGCGGTTGCTGATGTGATGACGCGTAACCGTTCAGAATCGGTTTACCGTCTTGTTGAATGATCGGTATTTTAGTGCTGGGCGATGAAGCGGTACCAGATGACATAACAGCAATTCTACTGCTTGCTCATACATTCCAAACAACACTCATTCACATATAAAATGTACCAAACGATTAGCTGTCGATCCGTACAAAAAAACGTATTGGAAGGAAAGTAGTTAATTTTTGATGAATCCGTTTCTTTTTTCCGAGTCACTCTATTTTTACCACTTTCTGCAAAGAGAACGTGTTAATTGGGTACATTACAATTGTTTTGGTCATATACTTGAGTGGAAAAATCCATCTGATCATTCCGTATTACCGATCGACTTATTGTTACCAAACGGTCAAGTTGATGGTTCAGTGCTTAGGTACGGAAGATAGAAATATGAGATTATGATATCTTATAGGTTAACTAAAGAGGTTTCCTATGAAAATCGATACATGGTTGCGGCTTGCAAATAGGCACACAAAAACATTATTGAATAATAGCGAAAATGTGAGAGGACCACAACAAGTTGAAGGAATGTTATTATTGTTCTGACTGGATGATGGGGCAATAAAACAAATGCACTGATAAGTTTGTTGCTGCCTTAGTAGAAGTTAAAGGGATGATTACTCAATGTAGGATCACTTTTAGAGTTGAATAACAAGTAAATGTTGAAAAGATTCAAGTAAGTCTTAAGTTGATGTTCTGCGATGGAGGATGAGTGAATGGATAGCTCATGTTCGAGGAAGATTAATGCAAACAATCAGTTGAACAAAACGATGTAACAGCTTCAAGCATCTGAGGATGTTACATCGTTTTGTATGCAGGATGTTACATGTACAGGATGTTACATAAAAAACATCGGCTTGAAGCATCATTTGAACACATTTATGATCCACTCATCATTTTTAAAATACTTCGTGATTCATTTATGATCCATCATTTAAAAAAAATCTGAGGATCGCGATTCATCCCGCATGCTGACATGCTTTGAGCACATTGGCCAACGATAACGGTAATGTGGATAATGGTACCAATTGATGCTATTATCATTTGGTCCATTTATCGCTGCTGTTTTCATTAAAATGCTCGCCGATAATGAAAGTATTATTCAATGGAATAACAACACTCACCTTCAGCACTTTCGTGCGATGATTAGATAATCTGAGTTGAAACAGATACGAGGGATTGGTCGATAAAGAATTTGCGAGAAAGTCGTGATTGTATTCAGTATATTCTCGCGGCAGTTTGTCTTCACTTCCGATGAAAAGTGCTTATTTAACAGAGAATATTGATACACCCGAATAAATTTGGATGTGCGTGATTACAGTCTTCTCTTGATCACAATAGTGCGATTTCAAATAAATTACTGTGCTCCTTCCTGATTCGTCAAGCGATGTGGTCGCGAATCGGGACAAGGTTTGTCGTCGTTGATTGGATCGTTGTCGTTACAGCCGACTTGATTAGACCGACCTGTTTGTTCTCGTTTGAACAGTTGCTTGGGTGACTACTGGACAGTGAACTGCAGCCGTCATGCGCGATCAGTCAACTGTGGAGAGCCAGGTGCAAGGTCTTGAATGTCGGCTTCTTCTAGGCAACAATCAGCTGAGTTGTTGCGGGTTCGCTGAAATTTTCAATACTTAAAGAAGACGGACAGAAATTCAGACCAACAACAAAACCATAAGAAATAATTAAGCGAGATCTAACAAGAGCAAATATTATTAGAAATGGACTTCTCGATCAAACTCTAGAACGTTGCTCTCAAAACCTCGATACATACATCGATTACTTCATTAGAGATTGGTCAACAACCTATCAATTTATCAAAATAACAAATCAGTTTCTATACTCGTGACTCGGAGTATTTATTCAAATAAACCCTTTGGAGTATTTGAATTTTCATAGCGGTGATTTTCGTGAGCATCATTCAACACAGCCATATGCAATAAAAGAAAGCACTGCATAAAGTTTTTAGTATGTATTTCCTTTTTTGAGACATTGTGAACAACTGGAAATTGCGCAATTCATGTTGCACTTACAAATGACTCATGAACGTATGTTCAATGGTGGAACAAAAACACTAATCACGCATGTTTGAACCGAGTAAGTGCATTTCAATAGTGCAACTCTTCGAAGTGATAAACCAATTTCAATATCTATTCGTTAAGATGCACAATGACGCTGTGTGCTCGAAAGGATGTTTGGTTAATTAAGTATGGAATGTGTTTCACTCTGCATACAGTACCGCACTAATAGGGAGGCGTTCTAATTAATCGCCATTGTCAGCACTAAGTAAATACAGATCCTCAAGAAGTTTCTCAAGTTCCTTAGCTGATAGCAATCTTGATCATTTCAACCTTCTTGAGATCCTCAGTTTTTATGGCATACTTTATTCTTGATTCAATTCACATCAACAATTAGGAGTTTATGAAAGGAACACAAAGGAATATTCTTCAAGTGAACATAGCATCGCCTATCGAGCATTTGAATTTGCATATTATTTGAACTGAATGAAGCCCTGCCGTCCCTTGGTGAACGGCTTGGATCTTCAATGGTGATATCGTCGACATACTCGTAGATTTTCGCGAAGGTGAGAAAATATTCTACTGATGTGAGAATTTTTCTATTACTAGTCGGGATTTTTCAACACCATTCTAAATTGCTGGCTGAATTATTCGTGATTTTGAGTTTTGGTTTCGAGGAGACTGAATGGAGGTTACTGACAGCATAGCAGGTGTACAAAGTGCACTTTATGCCCACGCAACTGCTGTCATAAACACATACTTGTTAGACAAAACTGAATCAGTGATCAAAATCCAGCAAAATGATACCACATCTGTTATCAGATCTGACGTGTAATGCTGCTGCTGGCAACGAACGGACGAATCAATGAAATTATTTTCTTATCTTCGATATCCTCCCATTCATTAGAACCGAACATATTTGACTGCATCCGAGCGAATGAAACCATCCACTACATGTTCAAATTTTTTACCGATATACTCAACAAGTTGTCAAGCGATTCGTGATCGCCGTTTGGTTCGAGTTCTCTGTATGAAATACCTTCGATGTTTACGCACTCATTCTGATTGTCAACTTTTAACTGATTCAGTGACAAATGATATTCAATTGATTTCTTGATTGATAGGTCAAGTTTTCAGAAGTGCACAAAAAAAGCTGTCAAAGACTAGCACTAATTGATCAGATATATTCGTGAGTTAGTAGAAAAATGATGCATTTTTCTTCAATGAGCTTGAATGCAATAGAACTTACACGCACTTAGTTGGATGCGGGATTATTTGGACAGTCAAGAGGAATGAATGGAAACAATGAATTGAATTTTAATCGCTCCAGCAATTTTTTGATATTGAAAGCATCCTCTCACATTCGTTAGCTTTCAATGCGCATACATGACAAGATTTCGAATGAAGTGAAATGTTATCATAACTTCATTCATTCATTCATCGATATCATGTGCCTTATTCAATTAGTCACAATTGTTTGCTTCACCTCAACTCAACCAATTGCAAAGCTGTTTTAAAAATTACACACATTCATTCACATTCTCTCGATAATGTTTGTGTACATGCTGAAACGCCAACGCATTCAGTCTATTTTGACTTGAGAATTCCTCTGAATTAAGAACCACAGGGGTGTTATTTTAACGAGTTGTTTGGCAAGAGATTCAAATGAGGTAAGCTGATCTACTGAAGGAGGCAAGAGAGAGAGAGAGGAATATGCGAGAAAATGACATGGTTTTTGTTGTATGAAGAAGCATCAGTGATGATAATAAGCTTATCACCGAGTTGTAGCCGAAAGCTCGAAAACTAAATCAAGACAAACATTCTCTAATTTTGAGGTAGAGACACTCTATGCGCAATTGAAAGGGATGCACAGCCGATCGGTAATGATCAGCATTTGCTAAGGTTTCTAGCGAGTTTACCCATCTATTGCAAGTGGGTAAGTGAACAAACCCAGGAAAACATAATGGAATGGCCTAAATGCATCATGGACATATATACACAGTTGTTGAATTAAAAACTGATGTTATTTATTATAATCCGATCTGTTTGATGTATCCTTATTTAATCTAATCCGTTCACGTTATTGATCAGGCCAGGATGGATGTCACCGGAAATTGTTTGAATATGCAATAAATCATCTGAAAAGTGTCGCAAGCAAACAGGAATTATGCAGAATATTCGCTCATGTTCCAAACACATCATTGTAAGTAATAGTGATTGATGATGAAGCGTTATGTTACATAATTACTTTATTCTTTCATCAAATTTGAGCGTAACGGTGACTAAAAGATGAGGGCATAACACTTATTTGGTGGATAAATTAATAATGTGGTGAGAAGTGCATGAGAAAAACTCGCGTTTGCATCACATCATAATCAGATTATAAAAGAAGCGAANGGCATCCGCCGAATGTGTCAATGCTCGGAAGCAAAAAGATTAACAATAAGACAGCAGCGTTTGGAGGAGAATATTATGAGGTAATAATAATGCTGGTAATGATGAACAGCTGTCAGCACATTTACACTTCATCTCAATTAATGACAGCAGTTGAAGAGAGGAATGTCTGAAAAACGGCATGCATTATGCATAATTTTAATGTGAGCTGAGGTCATCAACGAATCTGAAAAAATCGCTTTCCTTATTGTTGGGTTCTTAATTTGTGAAATATATCGAGTGGATTACCTAAAATTTCATCAAGCTTCTGCATGGTTTTGAGATTCATTAAATGCTGCAAATCACTTCTGCTATAGAAACTGTATGAGTATGTTACGATTTCAGGCCATCCTTTATCAATATGTTACATAATTACTTTATTCTTTCATCAAATTTGAGCGTAAGGGTGACTAAAAGATGAGGGCATAACAGTTGTTTTGTTGTATGTGTTCAGAATAGTTGATCCCACACCATGGTGCGAACAGTTTACAGAGACTGCGATTCTCTACTAGCAAAACACTAACAATAAGCAATAATGCAAGTTTGATATTGAAACCAAAGTTTGTGCACATAACATCTGTAACAGTATGCTTACATAAAATATTTCAATTTCGCTCTAT